GTATGATCTGTATTAGTACCTGATTTATTCCCATTTAGTTCCCAGTTAGGAGCATTTCAGTACCTGCTTAGTACCTAGGTAAAACCCATGCAGTTCCCAGTTGTTATCCATTTAGTTCCCAGTTAGTATCCAGTTTCTATGCGGTTCCCACAGCCGTTCGTACTTCCCTTCATCCTGGGACAGGCAGCTGTCAGTCATCTGAGATGTGATTATGATCTTCGGCTCTGACACACGCAGCGGATGCTGCACCGCAAAACCAATTCATGTCTCATCAGCAGCTCATAAACAGCCCATCGATATCCTGGCCAGATCACAACAACTCGTGCTCTGTTAGGGAGGCGCGTATTGATGCACGCCCGTATCAAATATTTATTATCAAGGAGCTCTTAGTTTGGAAACATGATCAATGGTTCTATCCTCCGGTGTACAAATCAGGGCAGTTAAGAGCAGAATCAGAGGCCTGCAAACCATCAAACATGAGAAGGTATTGATCTCATTTTACAAACAGAGGCTGAAACAGAAGAGATTGAAGCTTTCCTTCTGGCTCACAATAAAAACCACATCGTTCCAGAAGGAGGAACATCTGCTGCTTCTCCTTTACTTTCTGATCCAAAGTTTGGATGATGGACGGACGGACGGACGATCAGTCCATCAACCATTTCTGCAGCCCTGCCGTTCTCCTTCAGCCCTCTGGGGGCGTAGTTCCTCCATTAGGCTCCAGCTTCTCGTTTCTCTTTTCTTCTCCCTTTTTTTTCTACATCCTCATTATCATTGTTAAAAACTTTCATTCTGTTGGAGTTAAAGAGATAAATCTGCTTTTTTGATCTCCTCTTCGCTCTTAAACATCGGCTTTCCTCCGTTGACGGGAGGACTTTGTCCCACGTTTAAGTATGCACAGATACTTTCTGAGGATTAATGGGCGGAGAGCGGGCTGAAGGCTCTGATGCTCCGGGGAAAATATGCCAGATTATAAGACGACTACTTTAAACAGTTTGTAGGAATAAAGATGCGATAGGAGGCCTCAGTAAGATGGTTTGATCCTGAGAAACGTTTGGGGAAAAAAAGCTCCAGAGAGGAGATTTAAAACACTGTTAAACACCTACTGATGATGGCTAACGCCACAGCAGCAGCTCTAGTCCGTCGGCCATCTTTATCTGAGGTCTCAGTATGATCAGAATCTCATCTAACGTCACCAGATGAGTTCTCTGATTCGTTCAGCTCCTTCTTTCCAAATCATGGGAACGAGACGCCAAGAGTCTGGAACCGGAACTGGAACTCCTGATCCACAGAGAGATCTATGGTCTGAGCCTGATATGGGAGCAAAGTCAGCTGAAAACCAACAAACAGCCTCATCATCTGCTTAAAGCCAAGCTGAGACAATGAGGTCCAGCCAACCGTCGCCACAAACAACAAATTAAAGGAAAAGTCGTATTGAGAATTCAAACTTCTCAAAGTGTTTTAAATATGAAATTAATAAATACTGTTCAATAAATGTTACGTGTTTTTAATTAAGAGTAATTTTCATTTGAATGTGCTTTACTGGAGGCATGATTTTGCTTGTAAAGCGGGGAGAATGGTAACCTGACTCCACCAGATGGATTTGCTCCGCATATCCATCTGGAAACCTTCCGTTTAAGTAATTTTGGGAAGGGGCGAAAATACTGGTTAGCTGATTGGCCTATGTTGGTGATAGACGGGCCAAATAAACCAATCAGATCAACGAAGCATATGACGTACTAACAGAGCGACGACGAAGAGGAGCCAATTGATCGATCAAACTCTTGCTGAAACCAGTCGGGAGAAGAGCAAAAACATCTTTTCCTCTGAGAAAAGCCTCCAGAGCAGTGTTTTGCTCTTCTTTCAGTGAATAAATACTCTGTAATTCCCATAAAACTTGCGCGATAGCCACGCTAACGCTAGTTTCATCGGCTGAAGCCGCCATGTTCTTTAGACTGAACTGTCGCGCTTCTCGTTGCGTCACACCTCAACCCGCCTCAAAGCCAACACTGATTGGACGTTCGTTTGGTGAACGGCTCCAAATTTTCTTTAACGGAGAGTCTCCAGACTGATTAGCGAATGAAATCTTGAAAGCTCGCGAGATCAGGATGGTCTCACGAGGCTAGGAGAATGGCGCTAGGCTTACCGCACCGTGACGTCACTGCCAGAAGATGGCAGGAGGGAGGGGTTACTATATTTGGGCAAAAATTGCCGCTCCCAGACTCAGGGATCGCGATGAAAATCATTACTTTATTTTTTACTGATTAAGACTTAATTCCTTAAATCAACGCAAACGTATTAGTTTTAGGTATAAATAACGATCCATTTGTTATTCCTTGCAGACCGAACTTTTCCTTTAACAGCCTCACTGCCTGTAAGGCAGAAAGACCCCAAACGTCTGACTGAGAGGAAATAAAAGCGGCAGCAACCTCCTCTACTTCAGCCTGAAATACAAATAAACTCAACTTAGGTCGGACCAGGAGCACAGATTTAACTTCACAGGAGTTAAAGGAAGGGTTTCATCTGTCATCTAGTTCTGCTGCTATAGGCTTAGACTGCTGGAGGACATAGGGACCCCTTTTTCATCATTCTGCTTCATTCTATCTCTATTCTCCCACTCTGCAGAATCTGTTAGTTCAATCTCTAACGTTCTGCTCTCTCTGCTTTTTCTCATAGTAGCTTCATCTGGTCTGTTCCTGTTTGGCTGTGACTCCATCCTGGAGAGAAATATCAGCTGTGCTGCCGAATTGAATCTGAAGAGTGTTAATGTAGAAGCATAGTTAGAAGCTGCATTTGGAGGTGGCACATTATTTTACCCTTTCTTTTACACTTTTCGGTTCTCTTTTTTATATTTTTATTTCATCCATTTTTATTTTTCTGTTCTCTTAATTTATTTTACAATTTTAGAACAAAGCTCACAACAAACGAATACATACACAAAACAAAGAATGTTTGAGAATTTGAAGATGTCCCCTGAAGGACTGGTGAGGTTCCCCACCAGGCAGTGGTTTTCTATCAGAGTAAACCTCCTTCATTAAAACTGTAGACAGGCGTCCCTGATACCAAACCTTATAATAAAACCAACCAGGCAGCTCAACGTTTCTTTGGCTCCTGCTGAAAACCTGAGATATTCAGGAATCTTTCCTCTTTTATTCACTGAAAAGCTTTTACAGCAGTTCAAAGGTCGAGCGTTAATCCCAGCGGCGGCTGGTGGAGTTTGCTCCAAAGTTATCACACCAGTATGTTAATATGAATGCCAACAGCAGAAAAAAACATAAAAACACTTTAGAAAAACATCATTTCATGTCCAGGTTTTCATTTTGTCCATAAATCTTGTCCTTCTGAGGCTTTGAAGGTAAATCTGTGTTTTGTCCAATATTGAGTCACAAACCTAAAAAAATATAATGAACCAGTTTAATAATGGAGAAGCTATTAGTCAGCTTTATATTTTTTTAACCTATAAAAACTATTTATTTTCTGAGAATGTGTTTATTTACGGGAAACTATGCAAATGAACAAACATATAGAAAATGTAGATTATATTCTATTATTTTCCATGTGAATCCCAGATTGTTCATCCTTCTTTGCATTTTCAAATAAGTTCTTTAAATCAGTCCTAGCTGTCTTTATCCAGGCTGGCTCAGACCCTGACGTTTGAAAAAGGAGGCAGAGAAAGCAGAATAAAGCGATAGCCTCGCTGCAAGCAGTTAGCCTCACTGCATGCAGTTAGCCTCGCTGCATGTGGTTAGCCTCGCTCCATGCAGTTAGCCTCGCTGCATGTGGTTAGCCTCGCTCCATGCAGTTAGCCTCGCTCCATGCAGTTAGCCACGTTGCATGCAGTTAGCCTACTGCATACAGTTAGCCTCGCTGCATGCAGTTAGCCTCGCTCCATGCAGTTAGCCTCGCTGCATGCAGTTAGCCTCGCTGCATGCAGTTAGCCTCACTGCATGCGGTTAGCCTCGCTGCATGCGGTTAGCCTCGCTGCATGCAGTTAGCCTCGCTGCATGTGGTTAGCCTCGCTCCATGCAGTTAGCCTCGCTCCATGCAGTTAGCCACGTTGCATGCAGTTAGCCTACTGCATACAGTTAGCCTCGCTGCATGCAGTTAGCCTCGCTGCATGCAGTTAGCCTCGCTGCATGCAGTTAGCCTCACTGCATGCGGTTAGCCTCGCTGCATGCGGTTAGCCTCGCTGCATGCAGTTAGCCTCGCTGCATGTGGTTAGCCTCGCTCCATGCAGTTAGCCACGTTGCATGCGGTTAGCCTACTGCATACAGTTAGCCTCGCTGCATGCAGTTAGCCTCGCTGCATGCAGTTAGCCTCACTGCATGCGGTTAGCCTCGCTGCATGTGGTTAGCCTCGCTGCATGCAGTTAGCCTCGCTGCATGTGGTTAGCCTCGCTCCATGCAGTTAGCCACGTTGCATGCAGTTAGCCTACTGCATACAGTTAGCCTCGCTGCATGCAGTTAGCCTCGCTGCATGCAGTTAGCCTCGCTGCATGCAGTTAGCCTCACTGCATGCGGTTAGCCTCGCTGCATGCGGTTAGCCTCGCTGCATGCAGTTAGCCTCGCTGCATGTGGTTAGCCTAGCCTTGGAGCTAAACCAGGTCCTGGAAAAAGAGCGAGTGAAGCGTCTCCATCTGTCTCTGAGCTGCTTATTATTTTGATGTTCAGCTGATCGGTTCCAAACGGTTTCACCTCCAGCCTTTCTTGGTAAGTTTGCTTTAAGTGATTTCACTTCCGCGACTCGACCTGTCAATCAGCCGCATAACAACTGTGACGACAGTTCTTTCATCTCAGGGCGGAAATATGTCATAAATTGGACGAAAAATTACATTTTCTAAAATGTTATCATTTCATTTCATTTTTTTTTTTTATGTCTTAATCAAGGTCATTGGGCTGTTGGGGCAGCGCCCTCTATTGGCGAGCTGACACCACTTAATTCATAGGTTTATTTCTATCGTTTCAGTTTTTTATTGTTTATTCAGGGATCTGTTCTCACTGCAGGGTTCTGATCACAGCAGATGAAGGACTGATCGGCTCCATGAGGAGCTCTTCCTGGAAGTGTGTCTCTCTAAGGTGGACAGATGGGATATTTCCAGGCGGAGCCCAGCAGAGGTCAAAGAGGAAACTCCCAGAGGAACCCGACACGTGTGCAGAGAAAACGGCCCATTGTGCGTTTGATCCAAGGCTGAAAACATTTCTGCTTTTAGGGCTGATCCACCTTTAGATGATGAAAACATGTCTACAGGTTTTATTTCTACGTTCAGCTCAGGGTTTCTGCATGATAGAGCCCTCATGGAGCAGAACTAAGAGCTGCTCTACTTTCCATTAGTTTCTGTATGAAGGTGAATAATTCCCTTCACAGTCGTTCCTCTGCAGGCTGAGGGATGAAACGCGGGTTCGATGGAGGAAAGCCTTCGCATATACTGATGAAAGTAATTAAGGGAAGCCGACTGAAAAGGCCTGCGTCTAAATTTGCTGCATAAGTAATTTTTGATCGATATGTAACGGTAGAAAGTTTGCTCTTTGAGGCGCTGATCCGTTTCACTCCAACAGACCAGAGTTCATCTCTGCACGCTGCAAAAAGTCAGGCGCTGCAGGTAATTTTTACTTGATTTAAAGCCAAATATTGGATGATGTGGAGTGAAACCAGAGGAGGAAAATCTCTGACGTTCCCAGCGTCTCAAACCATCTAATGGGAACCTCATCAGGGGATCATGTTTAAAACTCTTTTCCATTCAGGAGGAAAAACGCCTCAGCTCCTGAGCGACGCTCTGCTGCAGTGGGAGGAGTTACTGCTCAGAAAAGTTTGTTTCCCAGAGGCACTGATCATCATGCCGCCCTCACCGTGCTTCACTAACAGAGTTCTTCATAGTAGCTTAATCTTTAAAGTAAAAGTCCAGTCAGCGAGGAATAATCAATGGATCATTATTTATACCTAAAACTAATAAGTTTGCTCTGATTTAACCCTTTAAAGCCCGATCCAAGAATAAAACAAAACAGAAAATTATTTTTTTTTTTGGTTTGAAGTCCTTATTTGGCCTTTTAACAAAATATGTAAAAAGAAAAAACAGAAATACATTTTTGATATTAATAATTTATTACTATGCGATAAGTCAACATTATTTTTTGTGTCTTCTGCCGTCTGTTATCAGGTGTATCTGATTGTGTACAATAGGATTTCGAGCAAAGTTTTTACCATTAAATTATGCAAAAGGCGTCAGACGCAAAACATTTCAGAAACCGTATGTATCAAATACGATACATTTGGCATTATAGGGTTAATAAATTTAGCGTTAACCAGTAAAAATAAAAAAACTAATACATTTCATCACGATCACTGAGTCTGGGAGCGGCCATTTTTGCCCAAATCTAGTAGCCCCTCCCTCCTGCCATCTTCCAGCAGTGACGTCACGGTGCGGTAAGCCTAGCGCCATTCTCCCCGCTTTCCAAGCTAAATCAATGGGAACTACTAGACACATCTGCAATCAACAACAATTATTGAAGATTTCCAGAGGACTTCACCATTGAAATTCACCAGAGCTATAGTGAAACTGACAATGCCCACGTGCATGGCAGCTGGATGCTGGAATACATCTGGGAAAAGTGAAAAAAAAGAGTTATTCCACCTTTCTGAGGCCCCGTCCACACGAAGTCAAACCCTGGCCTAAACGCACAAATTTTTCACCAAACCAGCCTCTCATCCATACGAAGCCGGCGTTTCTGGGGTCTGTAAACGATCTTTTTTTTATTAAGCCTTCAGAGTGGGAAGATTTTGAAACGCCGTTTTCGTGTTTCCATCTTTAAGCTCTAACCGCATTTTTTTTTTCCTTACATGCATGCGTCATAGCGTCGCCTCTAAACACGCATGCGCGACACAGTATCACAACAACAATGGCGCCGTACTGTGTTGAATGGTTGCTGCTCATGCTACTCACCCTGCTGTCGGGCTTACAACAGAATCTTCTTCTTCTGGAATATCTCCAGGAAGAACAGAGCAATATCGACCACATAGTTCAGCACCTGAATTTGACCACGAAAATGGACCCGCAGGGCAATTCTCCGGTTTTCAGGTTTGGTTGTTGTAAAAATATTAGTGCGCATGCCCAACATTTCGTTGCCTGTTTTCACCTATTTTTGCTTTGGCACCACAGCGCCACTTACAGGCCTGGCATACATTTTGCAGCGTTTTCATGCATTTGTGTGGACGATCACATTTATTTTACTTCTCCGTCTTTACAACAAACGTTCTGGAAAATATTTGCGTTTCATGTTCGTTTTGACTTCGTGTGGACGGGGCCTGATTCCTGATCCTCCACGGACGGGTTGGTCGTTGGATCGCCAACTTGAAGAGGGAGGATTTGCCATCGAACTTCTGGCCAGAGAAAAAACCCGTAATATGTAGCCAACATTTCTGGGGGGTTTGGTCTTTAGGACCCAGTAGTCTCTGTTTAAGGGTCTGTTTGGTTTGAAATGTTCTGGGATTTTCTGTTGTGTCATTTGGATTTCCTTTCTGATTTGACAAACGCCCAGTGTTGGTATCGCCAGGTTTGTAGAACATCTTCGATGTGTTTCTGTTCTTTGTGTTTATCAAAAAGGAAAGTTTTAAGCCTAGCCTTAAAACCAGACAGGGTGTCTGCCCTGCAGACTAAAAGTGGTGATAACTGCAAACTGGTGACTAAAACTACAGTTAGTGATACGAGAGATCCCATGGCACAACCATGCTTCTGTCTGTAAAATGATCCCTGAACTTGAAATAGGTTGTGGAAGGACAAAGGTCCAGTAGGGTGCAGATCTGGTCCGGACTGAAATTAGTCCTGTTTTTTAGGTCACTGTCTAGTTGAAGACATTTCCTAACTCTACTTCATTGATCATCTTTACATGAAACACTTCTCAAAATCTGCAGCAGCAAACTTAAAGTACACCATGAAGACTAGTTTATGTCAACAAGTAAAGGTTTCCAGTTAGTCCCAATATGTTTTTAAAGCTCTATTATAAACATTTGTCTTCTACAAAATATAAACCTGAAGCAGTTTTTGTTGAGGGTGCGTCGATGTAGACTCTGATTATTCCTTCTTTTTTTTCCATTTTAACAGAAAACAGTAAATAGAGCGGCCTTTGGTCGTCTTTCCTTGTTTTATTCTCTTCCTCCACCAACAACACGTCTTCAGTGAAACACGTACTGCTGACAAGATTGTCCCCTTTCAGCTGCTGTAACCAACAACCCTCTATGTCTGCTTCTGTCTCCTTGAACCCCAGTGGGCCTCAGCAGATGGCCGCTCACACTGAGCCTGGTTCTGCTGGAGGTTTCTTCCTGTTCAAAGGGAGTTTTTCCTCTCCACTGTCGCTACAAGCATGCTTAGTGTGAGGGATTGCTGAAGAGTCAATGAGTCGATGCAATCAGCTGGTTTTCCTTAGATAGAAAACGGATCGGGTAGGGACACATACGCTGGCATGCGTTGATGCCATGTATGTCGACATGTTTCAGCGTGTTCATAACTTATCCGCCGTATAGAAACGTTTTTCTTAGATGTTTCGTACGTCAGGCAGACGCTGGTCTAATCTTTAACTGGGGCTTAAGATGTGATTTTTTTTTTTTTTTGCTTTTAGAAATGAATTCCTGAAAACAATAAATGAATTTTGCAAATAAAAAGCCCCGTTTTTGATCCACTGTGTGAAAGGCGGCCCTCTAACTTCTTTCAGCGTGTTCGTTGATCTCTGAGCTCCGTCCAAACACACCTGATCCTCTCCATGATCCCAGCAATCCCCCCGTTAGTCGTCCTGATCTGGCTTTAAGCTGCAGCGCCGCTTTAAAGCGGGACTGATCATTGAACAGGGAGGCAGCAGCGTTTACATTCTGACAGCGCTGGCTTTTTAAAGTTTTTGGGGCCCCCTGCTCGGCCCCCCCCCCCGCTCCTGTGGTTGATGTGAGAGGCCCCGGTGAATCAAAGCTCGGATCAGAGTCTCCAGGGATTTTGGGCAGGTTTTAATGCCTACCTGAGGGACTGATGCTTCTCTGACACCATGTCGATATTTTCTCTCTCCAGCTGAGCTGAATCAGAGCCTCTCTGCTCTTAACTACCCTGACCCCCCCACCCTCCTCACCAACTTTAAAAACAAACTCAGGCTTGTCTGAGCTAAGCTCACGTTGTCTGGTTTTTGATCTCCATTCGCTCTGCGCTTAACATCGACTTTCCTTCTTTATTTAGTTTAAATGTTGAAGCCGGAGGACTTTGTCTCGTGTTCAATAAGCGCCTCACTTTCCCAGGATTAATGAAAACCTAGAGAGGAACTTAGCAGGTCTGAGGCTTTGATGCAGAGATCTGCTGCTGGAAAAGATGAAGGAAAGAGAAATGAACTGCAGGGATGAAGATCTGCAGCGAGGCGCAGAGTTTAGGGTGAACATCTAAACCTCAGCCATGTTGGTTTCCATTTCTGACTTTTGTTTCTAAATCGATCAGGTTGATGTTTTGTGATGAAGAGTTTCCAGAGATGTGAAACCGGCTGCCAGCCGACAGATGCTCTGAATGTTGGGTCAAACATCATTGTATCGGAAAGTTAAAAGTCAAAGACGTTTTTAGCCTATTTTGAATTAAAGCACTCCAAAAACATGAGTTGTTTTTTTAAAACTATATGCACTTTTTAGAAGAAAAACAAGAAAAAGCTTTAAATACTATAAAAAATACAGTATTTGGTTATTTAACCCCTTCAGTTGTGTTCCTGTTTGGCTGTGACTCCATCCTGGAGAGAAATATCAGCTGTGCTGCTGCCATCAACACCTTTGTTTCTAGATGTTGGAGCTTGGCCTGTTTTCCAGTGTAGTCCTGTTTCTCTGACTGTGACTAACTGGATGTGCTCTCTTCATCCTCTGACATGGGAGCTGGCTCGGAGCTCGTCTGCCTGGCTGTGTGTTTCCTGGACGGGGCCGCCTGTGGAGCTGGTTGACAGTTGCCTTTTGTATCTATGCTTCTTTTTCTATGTCTGCTTCCGTCTCCTTGAACCCCAATGGGCCTCAGCAGATGGCCGCTCACACTGAGCCTGGTTCTGCTGGAGGTTTCTTCCTGTTCAAAGGGAGTTTTTCCTCTCCACTGTCGCTACAAGCATGCTTAGTGTGAGGGATTGCTGAAGAGTCAATGAGTCGATGCAATCAGCTGGTTTTCCTTAGATAGAA